CTTTCCGGAAGGCCAATAGGGTGGGGATGGTCCGGATCTCAGGAGGTAATTGGTTCCAGAGAGCTGGGGCAGCCACAGAGAAGGCCCTTCCCCGCGGGCCCGCCAGCCGGCATTGTTTAGCTGACGGGACCCGGAGGAGACCAACTCTGTGGGATCTTACCGGTCGCTGGGAGCTATGCGGTAGAAGGTGGTCTCGAAGATAGCCTGGCCCTGAGCCATGTAGGGCTTTAAAGGTAATAACCAACACCTTGAATTATGCCCGGAGACCAATCGGGAGGCAGTGCAGCTCGCGGAGAATTGGTGTAATGTGGGTTTGATGGGCGGTTGTCTGAATCAGCAGTGTGCAACTCATTCTGGTTCCAGCAGTGATAGGATTCAAATTTTGTACTATCAGTTCTGTGGGTGTGGCTTGGTGGGCCTGGCAGGGGAAGGATACTGTAAAATCTCCATTCCCACCCCACTCCAGGGGAAGGATACTGTAAAATCTCCATTTCCTCCCGATCAGCTGGGACTCGGGAGGCAGAGAATAGATGGGAGCGGGGCCAGTCAGAGGTGGTATTTACCGGTTTTCCAAACTACTCAAATTTTTCGCTACCAGTTCTCCAGAACTGGTCAGAACCTGCTGATCCCCACCTCTGGGTTCCAAGGACCGGTTTCGGAAGAAAAATTGCCTTCCACGGACTTGGGTGGGTGGGAAATGGTTTCATTGTTCACAACCCAGAACCCCCACACACAGGCACAGATGATGCTTCACTCATTCGCCTGCTGCTTCTGTGACCTGGTTCCCAAGAGGCTATGGACTGGTACCGGCCCATGGCTCAGGGGTTGGAGAGCCCTGAATGGGAACCCCAATCAAGGAGAGAAGCAACCTGAAATGAAGGAGAAACTTCCTAACGGCGATGACAATTAACCAGTAGAACGGCTTGCCTTCAGAAGTTGTGGGTGCTGCTTCATTACTGGAGGTTTTTAAGAAGAGACTGGACCAGGGGGGGTCAAATTCAAGGCCCGTGGGGAGCTTAGATCTGGCTCTTGGGGCCGCCCTGCAAACAGCAAAGGACTGGCCTTTTACTGGCCCTCCCGAGCTCCATTTTTGCTGGCAGAGGGCTGCAGGAGGCCGTCGCAGCCGAAAACAGAGCCCAGATCACAGGTGGTCCCGATACGAGTAACGTTGAGCTGGCCACGCCCACCCTGGCCACGCCCCTCCCACCTCCCCTGAGGTCGAACACAACCCTGATGCATTCTGTCCCAGGGTCATGTGAGCAGCATCTGTATACGTATATATATATATATTTACAAGTTTTCAGCGAGCTTCCAACAAGCCAAGTCAATGGGGAAGCCAGATCTACTTAATGACCGCATGATTCAGTGAACAACCGGGAGGAAAAAGGTCATAAAATGGGGCAAAACTCACTTAACTGCCTTGCCTAGCAAACTGAAATTTTGGGTTCAATTGTGGTCGTAAGCCAAGGACTACCTATACCCGTGATGGCAAACCTATGGCATGCGTGCCACAGGTGGCACGCGGAGCCATATCTGTGGGCACACGAGCATTGTCCTAGCTCAGCTCCAGCATGCAGGCATGCGCCAGCCAGCTGATTTTCGGGCCTTCCGGGCCTGCCGGAAGTCGGGAAATGAACTGTTTCCGGCCTCCGGAGGGCCTCCATGGGGGTGGGGAAGGCTGTTTTCGCCCTCCCCAAGCTCCAAGAAAGCCTCTGGAGCTTGGGGAGGGCAAAAAACAGGCCTACTGGGCCCACCTGTAACCTTTTTGCGTTGGGTGCCAAAAGGGGGGGGGGTGCCGGGGGTCGGGCGCGTGGGGGGGGGGGGGGCAGGGCGCAGGGTGGGCATTGAATTATGGGTGTGGGCATGCGCACACGCGACCCATCCTGTGCTCCCCCCACTTTTGGCACGTGACGGTAAAAATGTTAGCCATCACGGCCCTATACCATTCCAAACAACAGAGGCAGTATAACTAAAGATCAGAAAGCCTGGCCTAAATCTAAAACTCTACAGTATCTAAAATAAAGGAAATTCTTTGGGATTATGGTCCTCAGCACCAAGGTCAGAATAAACGAATAACAAAGTTGGAAGGGTCCTTGGAGGCCTTCTAGTCCAACCCTGTTCAAGCAGGAAACCCTACACCAGTGATGGCTAACCTTTTTGCTGTTGCATGCCAAAAGCGGGTGGAGTGCGTGTGTGTGTGTCATGTGCGTTTGTGACCACACCAATAATTCAATCCCCCCAGTACCCTGCCCCCCTGCGCATACGCAAACAATCTCCCCCCGCGCTGCCCCCACTTTTGGCACGCATCAGCAAAAAGGTTACCAGTGTGTCCAGAAGGCTAGTTTTTCACCCTCCCCAGGCTCCAAAGGCTCTCTTGGAGCCTGGGAAGAATAAACCTTTAAAGCGCTCCATGGCTTAGGACCTGGCTATCTACAAGACCGCATTCTGCCACCGATTGCCTCCCACCGACTGGTACGCTCACACAGAGAGGGCCTCCTCAGGGTGCCGTCAGCCAAACAATGTAGACTGGCGACCCCCAGGGGGAGAGCCTTCTCTGTGGGGGGCCCTGCCCTCTGGAATGAATTGCCCCCGGACATACGAAGGATCCCCGACCTCCGCGCCTTCCGTCGTGCAGTGAAGACCCTGTTATTCCAGCAAGCCGCTCTGATGGGATAAATGATTTTAATTTGGTTTTAATGGGGGTTTAAAATTGGTTTTAAAATGAGAGTTTTAAATTCGGCCTATGATTTAATTATTTTAATCTGCTTTTAAATTCTATTTTGTACATTGTTTTATTATGGCTGTTCACCGCCCTGAGTCCTTCGGGAGAAGGGCGGTATATAAATAAAATAAAATAAAATAAAATAATAAAATAAAAAAATAAAATAAAATAAAATAAAATAAAAAAAATAAAATATAAAATAAAATAAAATATAATATAATATAATATAATATAAAATAAAATAAAATAAAATAAAATAAAATAAAATAAATAATAAATAATAAAAACTGCCTTCCCCACCCCCCCAAGACCCTCCGGAGGCCGGAAACGGTTTGTTTTCCGACTTCCGGTGGGCCCAGAAGGCCCGTTTTTCACCTTTCCCAAGCTCCAGAGGCTTTCTTGGAGCCTGGGGAGGGTAAAAACAGCCATCCCCCCACACACCCCCCCCAGAGGCAGGAAATGGTCTGTTTCCCAACTTCCGGTGGGCCAGGAAGGCCCGATCAGCTGGCCAGCGCACGCATGCGCGCTGGAGCTGAGCTAGGTCAGCGCTCGCGTGCCCACAGATATGGCTCTGCATGCCACTTCTGACACGTGTGCCATAGGTTGTCATCACGGCCCTACACCGTTCCACACAAATGTTTGTCCAAGCTCCTCTTAAAACCCTCCAGTGAAGGAGCACCCACAACTTCTGGAGGCAAATTGTTCCAGTGATTAATGTTCTAACTGTCAGGAAATTTCTCCTTAGTTCTAAGTTGCTTCTCTCCTTGATTACTTTCCCTCCATTGCTTCTTGTCCGGCCTTCAGGTGCTTTGGAAAAAAAGTTGACCCATTCTTCTTTGTGGCAGCTCCTCCAAAATTGGAAGACTGCGATCATGCCAACCCTAGTCCTTCTTTTCATTAAACCAGACAGTGTTGGTGAACACTGGCCTGTCACCCAAAATGTCATGGCTCTGTCATCTCTGACACACATGTCATAGGTTTGCCAATATTGATCGGATTGCGAATTTGGAAATTATCCTGGGAGAAGCGTTGAAGAAGTTGCTAACATGTTAATTGCTAAGAAAACATGTTGGATGTATCCATGAAAAGTCAAGCTCAGTTTGTAGAAATCTTTTAAAAAAGAAAAAAACAGCTGTCATTTTTTTGCCAAGTATTTGGCAATTTCCGGTCAAAAGGGGACTTATTCAAGAAAATGTTCCAAATAATTTTATTTTTATTTTTTAAATAATGCTACAATTGGAAGCAATTTTGTGAACGTTTGATGCGTACAGTTGAGATCATTTTTTCTTTTATTTCCAGTAGAGGAGACTGCAGTTATGTTGGATTTCTTGGAAATTTTTTCCAATGTCCTCAATGGTCTGGAATCTAAATTAAGCATTATTGATGCCTTTTTTTTTTTAGTAAAATAAGTTGAAAATTACGCCAGATTAATTTTGTTTGCTACACAAACAGCTTAATTTTTCTTCCTTTAGCCCACAGCATTTCTAAGAATACGGAATATTTTTAATTCAAATTAGATGACATGCGCTAAATGAGTTTCAAATAGCTCAGCAAATCAAGATTTATTTGGAAATTGTAGCGGTTTCAATGTATTATTTCAGTTAAACAAATGCTATTTTGAAAAGTTGCCAAAGTCATTATTTCCCTTTGTGATATATTTTAGATGGGAGAAAATGATACTTTGGGGATTCAGCCAGTTTGCACCTTTTAGGAAGAACCGGTTGTTAACTTTCTAAGCAGTTCGGAGAACCGGTTGTTGGAAGAAATCTTATTTTGTTTTTTTCCACTTTATACAGGAGCTAATCCTGTAAGGAAGGCAGGAAGGAAACATTCTGGTGGTGTTTCTAGCCTAATCTTTATTGCCCTGCTTACAGAAACTGCCTCTCTGGTTAACCCTTATTACATTGTAACAGCTAAGTCGAAGCGCCCATCGACGTGAGTGACGTTGAGTTGGCCATGCCCACATGGTCACATGACCACCGAGCTAACGCTTACCCATCTGGCCATTAGGGCAGAGAACCGGTTGTTAAATTATTTGAGTCCCACCACTGCATATAACTCTTAGTACAGGTTGTCCTCGACTTACAACAGTTCATTTAGTGACAGTTCAAAGTTACAACGGCACTGAAAAAAGATGTCCGCTTTTCACACTTACGACCATTGCGGCATCCACATGGTCACATGATCAGATGCTTGGCAACTGACCCGTATTTATGACGGACTGCCTGCACATTTGCTCTGTTCCTAATCTTTTCCCTTTCTTTTTTTCCCCCCTCAGGATATGTTACAGAGGGAAGGGCCGAGATAAGGGATCTCCTTGGACCTCCAGAGACCGACCGCGGCTTCCGATTCCTCCATGAAGCAGCACAAAGCCTGATGCCCACTTTGCCCCTCACCATGGACAGGGGGAGGAGTTACCACCCGCCATGTACACACCAGCAGCCCGGCAATACACTGTATAGGACACCCACCCTTCAAACCCAGTTTGGCTTGCCCACCACTGAGGTGAGTGTCCCTGGGAGATGAGTCCTCAGATATAAGGGATTTAGCCACAGGTCAGCCTTCTTAGATTACCCCTCACCGCAAGACTTGGTTCACCTCTTGCACTAAGTCCTAATTTGCTTAGTCTTGATTTAGCTGGATGCCTATGTTACGCTATAACCATAAACCGTGGTTTATAAGCCACAGCCATTCAGGTTCACACATTATGCCGGTGTTTCTTAATCTTGGACACTTTTAGATGGGTGGACTTCAATTCCCAGAATTCCTCAGCCAGGAGTGTTTCTTGACCTTGGCCAGTTTTAGATAGGTGGACTTCAACTCCCAGAATTCCTCAGCCGGAAGTGTTTGTCAATCTTGGCCCCTTTCAAATAGGTGGACTTCAGCTCCCAGAATTCCTCAGCCAGGAGTGTTTGTCAATCTTGGCCCCTTTGAAATAGGTGGACTTCAGCTCCCAGAATTCCTCAGCCAGGAGTGTTTGTCAATCTTGGCCCCTTTGAAATAGGTGGACTTCAACTCCCAGAATTCCTCAGCCAGGAGTGTTTGTCAATCGTGGCCCCTTTCAAATAGGTGGACTTCAACTCCCAGAATTCCTCAGCCAGGAGTGTTTGTCAATCGTGCCCCTTTCAGGTGGACTTCAACTCCCAGAATTCCTCAGCCAGCCACCCCCTCTGAAAGTGGCCAAGATTGACAAACATTGAATTATATTCACCCTTCAAACCCAGTTTTGCTTACGGCATTGTGTACCCAGTCAGCATTACCTTCTAATACTACATTTATACTCCTGAGATCAACTGGTTTGATTCTTCATGTCAGCAACAACAGACCAATCTAGGATTTCCATCAAGATGTCCTAATCTTGACTAGAAGGTTTTTTTCCATCCTTTCGATTTCCTGCTACTTACTTTGCTTTGCTCTGTTTTATTTGGCTTACTTTCTAGACATGTCCATTTTCACCAGTAGTCCTTTTGCTTTTATTGGCTTTTGGGCCTGCTTTTAGTGATGGTGATAGTTATCCTTTCCCCATTCCCCACACTTTTGGCCTGTTGCCAACACTGTAGGAGGAGACAATGATTGGCTAAAAATTCAAGAGGAATTTGGGAAGGGGCATCTTTTCTAATGAACAGGTTCATATTCATGAGGTGCAGCTGATTTATTTATTTCATTTTTATCCTACCTACGCTATTTTTATAATTTAATTCAAGGCAGCAAAACTAAAACTAAATTAAACTAAAACTCCTAAAATTCCTTCCTCCTTCTATTTTCCCCACAACAACAACTCTGTAAGGTGTGTTGGGCTGAGAGAGAGGGATTGGCCCAAAGTCACCCAGATGGCTTTCATGCCTAAAGTGGGATTAGAACTCATTGTCTCCTGTTGATTGGTCCAAGGCCACCCAATTGACTTCCATGCCTAAGGTGGGACTAGAACTCACTGTCTCTTGGTTTCTTGTCTGGTGTCTTAGTCACTAGACCAGTGTTTCTCAACCTTGGTAGCTTGAAGATGGGTGGACTTCAACTCCCAGAATCCCCCAGCCAGCAGCGCCACCCATCTTCAAGCTACCAAGGTTGAGATACACTGAACTAGACAAAGTGGCTCTCAAATTTATGCACAAAAGCACATGCCTTTTAATGAAAACAGCTTTCCAATTCCAATCTCTTCTTTAAAACCTCCAGTGATGGAGCCCCCACAACTTCTGGAGGCAAGTCATTCCACTGATTAATTGTTCTCACTGTCAAAAAATTTCTCCTTAGTTCTAAATTGCTTCTCTCCTTGATTAGTTTCCACCCATTGCTTCTTATTCTACCCTCAAGTGCTTTGGAGAATAGCTTGACTCCCTCTTCTTTGTGGCAGCCCCTGAGATATTGGTAGACTGCTATCATGTCTCCCCTAGTCCTTCTTTTCATTAGACTAGACATACCCAGTTCCTGCAACTGTTCTTCATATGTTTTAGCCTCCAGTCCTCTAATCATCTTTGTTGCTCTTCTCTGCACTCTTTCTAGAGTCTCAACATCCTTTTTACATCATGGCGACCAAAACTGGATGCAACATTCCCAATGTGGTCTTACCGAACCGTTATAAAGTGGTATTAACTACTTCTATTCTGTTATTCTGTTACAGACACAAGAGTTTTAGTAGTATACAGATTTAATCAAGGAAAGGACGGTTAGACGGATCTGTGCTTGAGTAGCATTTATTAGAATTCTTTTTAGCAGAGTAAATTCTAAGTCATTAAACTGAAAATATAGGCTCAAGAGGAAATTTAAAAAGGGAATTCGCTGCTTCCCATATTTCCATGTTTGGGGAAGCAGCGCCAGTTCTGCGTTCCATAATGGTGTTCTTTATTTATGGTTTGGCTTGTTTATGAGATGTAGAGGCTGCTGTTACTCTGGACAGCTTAATAAATAAATGTATATGTATATCAGTGGTAGGTTTAAAAAATTTTTACTACCGGTTCTGTGGGTTTGGCTTGGTGGGCGTGGCATGGCTTGGTAGCATGGCAGGGGAAAGATATTGTAAAATCCCCATTCCCTCCCCAATCCAGGGGAAGGTTACTGCAAAATCCCCATTTCCTCCCAATTAGCTGGGATTTGGGAGGCAGAGAATAGAGGGGTGCGGGGCCAGTCAGAATTTTTACTACCGGTTCTCCGAACTACTCAAAATTTCCGCTACCGGTTCTCCAGAACTGGTCAAAACCTGCTGAAACCCACCTCTGATGTATATGGTCGCCCAACTCACTTACAGTGTCTCTGGGCGGCTTACAGAATTAACCTCCCGCAATGCAAAACCACCTTACCCTGGGGTCCTCAGGCCTGCTGTCAAAATCATGTCTTGAGGGTCTTTTGAAAGGTTTGCTTACCAACCATGGCAAGAACGGTCCTAAAACAGGGTGCAACTCACTTAAGAATTGCTTTGCTAGCAATGGAAATTCTGTGGTCGCTAAGTGGAGGATTACCGGCACTTGTGAAATAAAGGGGGATCTTCTGTAACAAAGGACTTCGATTTAGCATGCTTTGCTCTACATTCTGCTGTTGCTCTTTCGGTCATTCTGTGCTCCCAGTTGCAAGTAGATACTCAGTAACCCTTGTAAATTGAGTACCTACGTAGTTAAGTTTATTTATAAAATTTATTGGCCGCCCATCTTACCACGAGGTAACTCTGGGCGGTTTACAGACATACATACTGTACACATTAAAACCTAAATAAAACCAAACATTGATCGAATATGTATGTATGTATGTATGTTATTTATTTAGTTATTTATAAAATTTTTATTGGCTGCCCATCTTATCATGAGATAACTTTGGGAAAAGACATAAAAATACATACACGTTAAAACCTAAATAAATTAAAACCAAAGGTTGCCTGCCTGTCTATTTTTAGATAGATAGATAGATAGATAGATAGATAGATAGATAGATAGATAGATAGATAGATGATAGATAGATGATAGATAGATAGATGATAGATAGATAGATAGATGATAGATAGATGATAGATAGATGATTGATAGATAGATAAATGATAAATAAATGATAGATAGATAGATAGATAGATAGATAGATAGATAGATAGATAGATAGGCTGGGCAGCCAATAAATTACACACACATACCCTGTTTCCCCAAAAATAAGACATCCCCTGATAATAAGCCCAATCAGGCTTTTGAGCGCATGCGCTAAAATAAGCCCCCCTGAAAATAACCCCCCCCAAAAAATATTTAAACGCATGCGCAGCCAGTCCCTGCCATTTCCTCTGGTTTCCTCCACGCACCCCAAAATAATGAGACCTCCCCAAAAATAAGGCCAAGCACTTATTTTGAGGTTCAAAAAATATAAGACAGGTGTGTGTGTGTGTGTGTGTGTGTGTTTATTTATTTATTTATTGGTTCGATTTATATGCCGCCCTTTTCCGGAGACTCAGGGCGGCTTACAATGCGTTAAGCAATAGCCTTCATACTTTTGTATATACCTGCTTAGTAGGGCTTTCGCCCCCCCCCCCCTAAGCGGTGTTCTTTTTTATACAAAGTCAGCTTATTGCCTTCACAATCTGGGTCCTCATTTTACCTACCTCAGAAGGATGGAAGGCTGAGTCAACCTTGAGCCTGGTGAGATTTGAACTCGCAGTAATTGCAGGCAGCTGATGCTACTTAACAGTGCTTTAGTCTGCTGCGCCACGAAGGCTCTTATACATATACATACACACACACACACACACACACACACACACATATATATATATATATATATATATATATATATATATATAGGTTTACAGACATAAAAATACATACACATTAAAACCTAAATAAATTAAAACCAAAGATTGATTGGTTATTTATTTATTTATTTGCCGCTCATCATACCATGAGGTAACTCTTGAGTGGTTTACAGACGTAAAAAATACATACACTTCAAAATTTAAATAAACTAAAGCCAAAGATTAAAGTGAAGGATATGTGGGGAAGGTGAGGATGGAATTGGGGGGTGGGGAAAGAGGAGGGGAATCTGTTATTATTCAATCAACCTCCTCCATTGTGCTATTCCCCCACTGGAGCCCCAGGCCTTTAGGCCCTTACGAGAGGATGGAAGGGTGGGGGGGGCAACCTCACATTGTGGGGGGAGCAAGATGTTCCAGAAGGCAGTAGCCACAGCAGAGAAGGCCCTGCTCCTGGACTCAGGCAGCTAGAATAATTGGGCTGACGGCAGGGTGGATAAAAATCAATGATTTTTTTAAAAAAATCAAAAAAATCCAATTTTTTTGATTTAAATCGGATTTTTTTGATTTTTATCGAATTTATTTTAATAAAAACTTTTGGGGTAAAAATCTATCGTAAGATAGTTTTCTATTTAAGATACATAAATTTAGTTTATTCAGCATTAAATAGAGCTTAGTTATGTAGCATGAGGCTGTATATTCTGCAACACTGGGACTATCGGTGAATCAACAGTGGGTCAAAGGAGTAGCAGAGATGACAGTTGCTCTTTAAAAATTATGATTTAAATCGAGTTGATTTAAATCAAGCCTTTTTACTAGTGATTTAAATCATGATTTAAATTGTGATTTAAATCAACTCGATTTAAATCAAATGCACCCTGGCTGATGGAACCCATAGCATGCCTTTTCTGCCAGCCCGGATGGGATGGGCCAGTCCTAGTGGGGGGAGTTTTTGTGATTTTCTTCTCCCCCAAATTTTTTAAAATATTTCTCTGCAAACTTCTGGCTTCTTTCAATGCTTCTCTTGCTTCTCAGAAGCATTGTTTCTGCATCACGTATTTGTCCTTGAATTATCAACTACGGATACCGCAGTTGCAGTCTGAAAAGGCTTTGAACGTTCCTGAACGTACCGCACGTATTTTGAAACCTGCTTTGTCGTTCTGCAGAATTCTGCTTCCGGCTGCTGGAGTTCATCCCTGTTTGCACCTCCTTCGTATTCAGCACCATTTTTCCTGAATGAAAACCAGTAAGTGCATTTGTGGGAGATCGCAAAAAACTACAGAAGAGAGCTGGAAGGGACCTGGGAGGTCTTCTAGTCTAACCCACTGCTCAAGCTAGGAAATAATCAGGGCTGCATGCTAGTTTGGGAAATTAAGGGGGGGAAAAAATCGAAACAACCCCAGAAGGAAAACAGTTGTCAAAATTTGTGTTGATATACAAAAACCAAAATGGCTCGGGATCATTTTGAACGATAAAATAAATAAAAACCAGGCCTAAAAGATAAAGAAATAGAGCATCTTATTTCCACAGTGGTACCTTGGTACAGGTAGTCCTCGACTTACAGCAGTTCATTTTGTGACCGCTCCAAGTTACAACATGGCTGAAAGAAGTGACTTAAGACCATTTTTCACACTTGCAACCGCTGCAGCGTCCCCAGGGTCAAGGGATCCCCCTTTTGCCGCCTTCTGACAAGTCAGTGGGGAAGCCAGATTCAGTTAACAACTAAGGTTGTAAAATGGGGCAAAATCCACTTAACACCTGTCTCGAATCTAAATCCAGATTCTGGTAACTAATTGATACCATCTAGATCAGCTGGAAGGGACACGGTGGCTCAGCGGCTAAGACACTCAGCTTGTCGATTGAAAGGTCGGCAGTTCAGCAGTTCGAATCCCTAGTGCCGTGTAACGGGGTGAGCTCCAGTTACTTGTCCCAGCTCCTGCCAACTTAGCAGTTCGAAAGCACGTAAAAAATGCAAGTAGAAGAATAGGGACCACCTTTGATGGGAAGAGAACAGTGTTCCGGGCACCTTTGGCGTTGAGTCGTGCCGGCCACATGATCATGGAGACGTCTTCGGACAGCGCTGACAGAAACGGAGATGAGCACAGTCCCCCCAGAGTCGGGAACGACTAGCACATATGTGCAAGGGGAACCTTTACCTTTACCTAGATCAGCTGGGATAATGAGAGATCTCTTTTTCCTTTCTGTCCGTAATCATTCAAAGATTAATTCTGAATCTTTTCAAGCATCCCTTGTCAATGCTAGCGAAATACAGTCATCCTTTTTTGAAACATTCAGGTAGTCCACGACTTACAACAGTTTATTTATTTATTTATTTATTTATTATTTATTAATTCAATTTGTATGCCGCCCCTCTCCGAAGACTCAGGGCGGCTCACAATGCATTTAAAATCATTATAAAAAACATTTAAGAATTAAAAACATTAAAACTCATTCACACCATTCATGGCCTGATCTCGCCAGATCGCAAGAGCTCATTTAATGACCGTTCAAAGTTACAATGGCACTGAAAGAAGGAGCTGGTGACTATTTTTCACACTTACGACCATTGCAGCATCCCCATGGGTCGCCTGATCAAAATTGTCCTGGGGGTGTGTGTCACGTGATCGCCTTTTGTGACTTTTGACAAGCAAAGTCAGTGGGGAATCCAGTTTCACTTAACAACCATGTTGCTGACTTACCCACTGCTGTGATTCATTTAACAACTGTGGCAAGAAAGGTCGCAAAATGGGGCCAATATCACTTAACCAATGTCTCACTTAGCAACAGAACATGTTGGCCTCAGTTGTGGTCGTACGTCGAGGACTGCCTTTACTTAATTGCTTTGAAACGGATCGAATTTGATGCTCAACGCATTTTGACACAAAAACTTTGTCCTGATACTCCTTGTTTGTTTGATACTCAATGCAAAATCTAGAATTTGTCGATGTCGGCTGCCTTGTGACTCGCTATATTATTCCTTATGGGAAAAGACTTATTTGGTACTCCTTGTTTTTGGTACTCATTGCATCTCCTGAAACCAATTAAGGATGAGTAGTGAGGTATCACTGTATAAAGATTTTGTTGCAAGAATCTTATGTAGGGAGATACAATCCAGTAATAAATGTTTATGGAGATTTTCAGTCATCCAGGCACCTTGTCGCAAAGGTGCTTTTTCAAGAGGCAACTGGACTTTCGTGGTTTTTCTTTGAAGACGTTTCGCTTCTCATCCAAGAAGCTTCTTCTGTTCTGCTTTCAGTCTTCAGCACTGAAGAAGCTTCTTGGATGAGAAGCGAAAAGTCTTCAGAGAAAAGCGACAAAATCCAGGTGCCTCTTGGAAAAGCACCTTTGCGACAATCCAGTAATAAGCATGCTATATGTAGGAAGATATAATCCCTGTGTGTTTATATAGTCCTCGACCTATGGCCGTTCATTCAGTGACAGTCCGAAGCTGGATGAATGGTCGTTATAACTAATGGTAGTTATAACTAATTATTGGACTTCCAGCTGTCCCAGCACCCCCATCGTTACATGATTGTGACCTGGGCACTTGTCAAGTGGCTCACACTTAAATCAGTGGGGAAGCCATCAGAGAAGGCCAGGAGTTGCTTGGATAAGTCTTCCTCACCCATGGACCCTCTCCCAGCTCCTGTGTACTCATGCCATGCCAACCATTCAAGCACCCCTCCATACCTTTTTTGAGCCTTGCTACACCTCTCTCGCACCCTAGTGCACCCTCCCCAGCCAACCCGTGTACCCCACTCCAGCCAGCCACAACCACTTGCCAGCTTGCTGGTGTGGGACTTGCAATTTCCTGCCGGCTTCCCCACTGACTCGGTTGTGGGAAGCTGACAGGAAGCTGCCTCCCGTAACAACTATAGGTAATCCTCAATTTACGACCACAATTAAAAATTCCCTTTTTATGACCCTGTAATCCCTTAATTCGGGCTAGAGTCAGGGTGACCGAATGGAGCTGAGCATTTACTGACCGGATGCCCTTCCTGACGCCATGTGAAGTTCACAGCAGATATTTTTTTCTTTGCGCCCTGGGAGAGGAACTGTGGTTTGGATGTAGTGGTTCTCTGCTAGTCAAGCATCCAGAGATGAGTCCAATCATGGCCCAGACTAATTACAGGTAACCCTCGGGTTACGACCACAATTGGTCCTAAAATTTATGTTGCTAAGTGAAACATTTGTTAAGTGAGTTTTGCTTCATTTTACGACTTTTCTTGCCAAATTGTTCAGTGGATCATTGCAGTTGTTAAGTTAGTAAGACAGTTGTTAAGTGAATCTGGCTTCCCCATTGAGTTTGCTGGTCAGAAGGTCACAAAAAATGATTGTGTGACCCCTGGGACATTGCAACCATCATAAATACGAACCAGTTGCGAAACGTCTGAATTTTTTTTTTTTTAATTTGATTTATATGCCGCCCTTCTCCAGAGACTCAGGGCAGCTTACAATGCGCTAAGCAATAGCCTTCATTCTTTTGTATATTTATACAAAGTCATCTTATTGCCCCCACAAACTGGGTCCTCAATTTACCTACCTTAGAAAGGATGGAAGGCTGAGTCAACCTTGAGCCTTGGCGAGATTCGAACCTGCAGTAATTGTAGGCATCTGGTCTTAATAACCAGCTTAATAACAGGGTGCCTTAGACCACTGTACTACCAAGGCTCTTAGTACTGTACTACCACTGTACTACCAAGGCTCAATTTTGATCATGTGACAATGCTGCAATGGTCATATAAGTGTGAAAAATGGCCCTTTTTGGTGCCGTTGTAACTTTGAACGGTCACTAAATGAACTGTTGTAAATCGAGGACTTCCCAGGCAAGACAACGCTTGTTAATCCTGCTTCATTTCTCTAAGCCTACACTTTGAGCAATGTTTTTCAACTTTGGCCCCATTAAGATTGGTGGACTTCAACTCCCAGGGGGAATTCTGGGAGTTGAAGTCTACCCATGCTATTGCTATTGCTATTGCTATTCTGGGAGTTGAAGTCCACCCATGCTATTGCAACCTTCCCAAAGAGTCCTGTTCAGCAGATCCCAATTTATCTTTCGGGTAAACTGCTGAAAACAGTTGATAATCCAGCTAGCCGACACAAGACCAGCAACAGAACAGCTTCTCGTGTCTTTTGAACTCGGCACCGCTTGAAAAGAGTTTGCAAACGGTGCTTTTCCATCTAGGTCTGGGCATTGGGAGGCAGAGACGAAAGAAAGGCTTCAGTGCGGCAGCCTCAGCTCTATTTGCAGCTGGAGGGCTGCAGCGGACACCGCCTATGCTTGGAACAGAGCGTATAGGTCGTTTTTTCTCCAAGAGTATTACTGTAAATCCTACTTTCTGAACCCTCTTGGGGGATTGATAAGAGAGGTTCCTCTTCTACTTACTCCTACTACTTCTGTTTGCTGCGTATTGAGTAGCAGATGGTGGATGAAGGTTATTGATTAGGATTCAATCCTCCCTTTTCTCTCCTGTGGCTGTTCTCACCCGGCTTTGCTCAATGCCAGCGGTGGGGCTTAACGTAACCTCGGGTTCCTTTGGCGCAGGTCGAGGATTCGGAACTCTGCACTACAGTCAGTCCTCGACTTACGGCCGCAATTGAGCGAGCCCACGTTTCTGTCGTCGAGCGAGACATTCGTTAAAAGTTCTGTTGCTAAGTGGGACGTTTGTTAATAGCAATAGCACTTAGATTTATACACCACCTCACAGTGCTTTACAGCCTTCTCTAAGTGGTTTATAGCAGGGGTCCCCAACCTTTTGGACCTCAGGGACCACTAAATTCATAATTTTAAATCCCGCAGACCACTAATGTGATCTGCCTAATGACCGGCTGGGTGGGCATGGCAAGATGGTCATGTGACTGGGTGGGTGTGGCCAACTCGACGTCACTCACGTCAAGGGGCGCCTTGCCAGGCTCTACTCGCTGCTCCTTGCCTCCCCGCCCGGGCTCCTTAGGGCCCCAACAGGAAGCAGTTGTTGGAGCTAAGCAGCCACCACAAGAAAGAGCTGGCAAAACAGCTCAGTTCAAATTGGATCTGGCTGAGAAGGAGGCTCAGCAGAAGCACCTCACTGAGGACTAGGAGCATAGGCTTTCCAAGCAGAGGGAAGACCTGCGGGAGGGCAAGGCCAGGTACAGGTGCCTGGAGGCTCAGCGGGCTGAGATGGTCAGCCAATTTCCAGGTCATGATGTAGTCCAATTGGAACGAGGCCCTCCAGCCAATGGTGGGATTCAGTTGGTTCACACAGG